TGGGAACCATTGGAAGTTTGTACAAATTCATGAACCTTGTTAGGCATCAATTTGGCCATGTATAGGAAAACAATGATGGAAGTTAGCTTAATATTATTTTGATATTGGATGATAATGCTTGAGCATGCTAGATGTGATTAAGCTATTTTGTTGGTGAGTGGGAGCTTGAAAACATGATGATTCCTCTAAGAGCATGTTCGGCCATGCCATGGAAAAATATGTTGGAAGCTTGTTTAAATCATGTTTACTGATAGTTGTTAGTCCTTAGGCATGGTAATGTTAAATCGACCAAGAAATAGCTTTAAATGAAGCTAGAAATCATGATGAACCCTAGGTACATGCTTTGGTCAAGACATGAAAAAGGACCTAGGAGGTTGTTAAATTCAAGTTCATGTTTGAAAGTAAGTGCTAGGCATATATCAAGTAAGTTTTAGGTGTAAAAACCTAGTTTGGCCTAGTGTTCATGTTAATCAAGTATTATGTGAACAATCATGTATAAATTAAATAATTCTCTATGACTTATTTTTGTGGCATAAATTGGCAAGGAAAAGTGTAATAATAACCATGTTCATCACCATGTCCAATTTCGAAATTAGCATACAAATGTGTTGATTTATTTAATTGCAAGTAATGTGTTTTGGTGATTGATGATATTTTTATTCATGGTATTAGTGTTGAATCAAGGGATTTAATCTTGGAAGAACAAATTCCAAGTTAATCAAGCATTGGAACCTCTAGTTGTTGTTTATTCAATGATATGGTATGTTTATGAACCCATGAGTTATTGGTGTTTTGACCATCAGATCAATATGTAAATTATGACAAGTATTCATGTTTCCAATATCTTATATTTAATAGGTGATTTTTGGAGTACAAGTCAAGTGAAAAGTGGTGTGGATAGCTTTCTTGGTCTTCAAGCAAGTGTTGACTTGGGATAGTCATTGACTGTTTGACTCTGTCAGAAATGGTATATGTTATCATATTCGGATAGTCATTGATCGTTGACTATAGTCATAGGAATTCAAGTAAGGGTTCTGTACATGTATGAGACTGTACAGTTCATGGAAATAAGACAACTATTGTATGCACGACAATATGTAAGGAAAAATAAAAAGAAAAAAGTTATCTCACGAAATCACCTTGTGTAATAGTGAAACTTTCATTAAGTCTCCGCTATTTTATTCAAGTAAGATGCGCTTTATATACCATTTTGCATGTTAACAAACTGTGAACAAGACGGGGCGTTACACCATGTGGATTAACATCTTCCATATAGATTAACTATGTGGCACACTTTCGACCCCTATCCTTATGATTAAATTATTTTTATAACTCTAAGAAATACACATGTTAGCCACTGAAAAATACCAATTAATTCTCAGAGTTAATTAATTATCTCCAAAGATACCACTGATTCACATTAATGCATTAACATTTCAAATTGTACTTTCATGGTTTTTCTTCTACTTTAATTCTTTTAGTGCATAGGTAAGCATGAAAAGATCATGACACATAAGTAAAATAACAAAAGTCGGGCTAATTTTCCTAGACCCATATCTATAAAAAAAAAATGCATAATAAAAATATGGTGTATGAAGCCAAACTGTGGAGATCACCCCAATTCTCCTAACCAAAAAAAATTAACAATGACACAAGCTTAGTATTAAGCTCAAGTGTATTTTGCAACTCTTGGAAGAGTCTTGCTGCAAAACACATGAGGAGATGCTCTTTATATAGAGGGGAAGGGAGGAGAAGGAGCAAGGACTCTCCAATGTGGGCCTTTAAAGAGAAGAGGGGTGGTTTCTTCCTATGTGAAACTTCAATGCATTTTTCATCTTTTATCTTCTTTGATGGTTTTTATTAGGAATAAAAATTGGTGTTCACAGTAGTTAAACACTAATATGTTATTACTTATGGGTACCCACAGGTTAATAGTGTAATCGTGACCTTTATTGATTTGTGGGAAGGAAATGGATTACAGCATAGCCCATGGACACGATTCAATCACGGTAATATCAACTTTGTCGCCATAGCACATAATAATGACAATATCTACTTCCTTCTTCTTCGTCAAGCAATCTAAACATCCTACGAGGAAAAAGTCGCACAGAAAAGATTCTTCATGAAATGCCAAAATCACTTTTCCGGCGAATGACGGATGTTGTGCTTTTGCATTGGAAGGTCGTCGTGCCCTTTTCTTTTCTTTTTTCCTTTTTTTTGGAGATTATCTCCCTGGTAATCCTATAGGTTCCCTATAGACTAATCTGGAGTTCGGGAGGGTCCAGGATTAAGGCTTTAAACCCCTCCCAAAGATGGTACTGGAAAAGATCGAACACATGCTCTCAACCCTACTTGCTCAGCTCCCATGCAACAACTGAACTATCATCATTTGGTATTTTCATGCCCTTTTCTAAGTTTGGCACGATAATCAATATTTTTGTATTGAATGTCAAGGCACTACATGAAATAACACATTACACCTTACACCCACATTAATTATTTTTACTGTCTGATCTAGATCAACCCCATGCAGGATATAAGGCCAAGTCCATTAATGGCCTAAGAAGCCCAACAATTAAGACTTAAGGGCTAAGAAAACATATCCATCCTGCATCGTTATCATCCCGCAGGTACACTACCATATAGTATCAGTAGTTTAAGACTCTACAGCCACACGACATTGGCAGCTCAAGACTCTTCAGCCACCCTAATAGTTAATCGCTAAAGGACATGCATCTGGTTCAAGCTACACCTATAAGTCGTAGTCCACAATAGACATCATGCGCACGGGATAGCTTGCAAGAGCCACTTCCTCCCACCTGAGGATAAATGTCTTCATACTAAGGCTATATAAGCAAGACAATCAACTACTATGTAACAGAGGTTTAAGGTCTAGGTATGATCATCAAATCCATCTTAAATTAAACTCATAGCTCACATACTGACTTGCATCGTAGTGCCTTGCAGGTACCCCCACATTCGTCCTCGCCAATCAAGACAATCACTACTAGACTCTCATCCTGCTACACATTCCGTTAAAGCATCCCACAAAGACAATACTCATTCCAAAGAAGACTTTAATAGCTATTGGATCAAGCTCAACCATGTGTGATTAACCCAATCGTTATTGGACTGATCACATCCGTTAGGAATACATAGTTAATCAACTTAAAATATCAAATAATTATGAGAATAAATTAATTTCCAACATCATCATTAATCAAGAACATTTCAAATTGTATTTGATGAACTTTGCTACTAATTCAATTCTTTAAATGTGAGAATAAAAAAAACACAACACACAAGTAGAATAAGTAATTTATTGATGCGCAGATGAAATTCTCTGTTGAAACATATCACTACTTAAAAATTCATTTTTGGTATAAAATATTATGGATGACCTTTCACATTATTCATAACATCTAAGTCTTTGTTTTTATGACTTTTGATGTATTCTATAACCATCACACTAATGGTGTGTTGAATTGTGGAATACATCGAAGGAAGAGTGTTGTAAAATAATATGTATGACCTTTCACATGGATTATGGATGACCTTTCAAATGGTTCATAACATGTGACTCTTTGTTTTTCATGACCTTTGATGTAACCATCACATTAATGGTGCATTGAATTGTAAAATACCTCCAAGGGGGAGTATTGTATAATATTATGGATGATTGCATGGATTATGAATGACATTTCACATGGTTCATAACATGTGACTCTTTATTTTTTATGACATTTGATGTATTCTATAACCATCACACTAATTGTGTATTGAATTGTATAATACATCCAAGGGGAGTGTTGTAAAATATCATGGATAACCTTTTACATGGGATGTAAGTACATGTCTTAAATGGAAAAAATGATACTTGGTAAATTCAGAATATAATAATATTTCCTTATCGTCAGGAGCTCATACTTGTTTTTATCTTATTCTTCCTTTGATTTTCTTTCTATACTTTATTTTTCTTTCTTTTATATTCCACTTTCTCTTATATTCTTCATCAAATTCACAACAATTTTTACTTATTTTATGTTTATAATTTATTTTATATTTATAAATATTTAATTTTGAATAATTTTTTATTTTTTAAATAATAAAAATTTTGATTAATGAAAAAATTTGGCCCGCGGATAAGCCTACTAAATGATAGGGCTGTGAGGGTAAGGCAAAAAAAAATCCTATCACAAAAAAACTCTAATGAATTAAGACCAAATATATAAATTTGTGGACTGGCGTGCAGGCTTCAACCATTTTTAACACCTCTACCCATAAGTCAGAGTTGCTTTCCTTAACAGTCAGTTGTTTTCAAGTTCTTAAAATAATACTATCTCAATCATTTATGGGATATATTTTTCTTATGTTGTAGGAAAAGAATTACCTCATGTTGTAGAAATAAAAGTATAAGTGGGACCCACATGTAAGAGGAGAGAGAAAAAAAATGGTGGGACCCAACTCCTTTTTGTGTGTGTAGGAGATATGTTTATCTCATGTAAAATGAGATAAACATAACCCATCATTTATTTGCTCCATTTTGGATTCTTTCCATTTGCAGGGTAAGCAAATACATCAAAATAGAAATAGGTTGATCAAATAGACAACCTCAATCGGTTAAATATAAAAGCCTAAACTCTGCTAACAAGAGGAGATTTTAGATTTAAAAATCTGCCCCAATACTCCTTGAAAAATCTTACCCGATTTCAGAAAACAATATTTCAAAAATGTAAAAATCATTTTGCATTAGGACATTGAATTTGACATGTAATTTTTTCTTTTAACATTTGAACAGACAATTTAGTTCTAAAAAAAAATGTCCGCTCTTGGGATCACAAATATTTAACTATAAAAACAAAAATGAAGCTTTTCTTTGCTGTTTTATTTTTTAAAAAATAAAAGAAAGAAAAATCACAAAAATAGTCCACAACTTTTTTTCGCTGTTAATTTTTTTTGGAAATTTTTTCCAGGAAAAGCAATAGCAAAATACACTTATCATCATTCATAGCATGCCTTTCCGAACCAAAATTTTCCCAACTATTTTCCAAAAAAATATTTCTCCCTTTAACCTTTACCCACAAAATTCCACAGGTCATATAACAAAACTAATATTCTTTCCTCAATAATTAAGCAGCCACAAAAATGTGGAGACAGAACACATTACTTCATCTCAGATTTATTGGCAGTAGTAGGTTCTAGGAAACCTTGTGCAATCCAATGTTGAGATCAGATGATATAGAAATGAGAAGAGGAATTGACTGAAGCCACATGGCTTTGAAGACTCGTTTCTGATGAGCTCTGATTGATTGGGAAGGCCTATGAGCATTATACCTTATATCAAAGATGTGAATCACAGGATCAGCTGAACCAGATGTTATATAAAGCCCATCAGGAGACCAAGCCTGATTTATCAGAGCTGATTGAGATTCACTGCTTTCTTGCTTCCATCCAAAAGAATGAAGTTCTGTCTGTCTCAATCTGATATCAAATAACCGAAGCTGCTTCTCAGGAGTCCTGATATAGGAAGAAAAGTAGTTAATATACTATAAACTTACAACCAGCAAAAGAATATCAAGGAATAGAAATAGAAGAAAAATCATGTATCAAAAAAAAAAAAATAGAAGAAAAATGAATATCGCTAATGAAAACAAGATCAACACAGTATTATTATGTTTCCATCTTAAAGGAAAACTCTTGTACTTAATTCAATGTAGAATATCAACAACACCTTTATCCCAAACTAATTGGAGTCGGTGGTAGATGAACCCAAATGAAAGATAGAAGAGATTGAAAAAAAATAAAAATGAAATTTAAGTGTATATATATATATATATATATATATATATATATATATATATATATATATATATATATATAAGTAAAAATAAAAAGGGTGTGGAAAAAAAAAAGATGGGGAAGGGGAAAATAGATAAAGGAAAAGAAGGGAAAAATAAGGAGAGGGGAGAGATGAAGAGGAAAAGAACTAAAAATGGACCATCTGGAACATAGGAATAATAACGGGTCTAACCCTCCACTATTCTTATAACTTTTCTCCATTTTGTCCTAAAACACACCGTCCGCCAATCTATATCTCACTCCATCAAGTTTTGTTTTACTATCTTCCCCCAAGTAAGTTTTGGTCTACCTCTATCTCTCTTTGTGTTGAACTCTTGGTACCAAACTTCTTTTGTTCTTACGGAAGCATCTAAGGGCCTTCTTATTACGTGCCCAAACTACTTCAATCTAGATTATTGTCGAGTAGCTTATGGCTATAAACCATCATTCCAACCACGAATATGAATAAGAAAAGGGAATTCTCCGATGTTAACTAGAACAGTTGAAGAAGAGGTGCTCGTCCCTCACATTGAACCTTGATTGGATTTATCTTTCTCCAGATTGAAAAGTCTGATAAATGCACCTGCTGAATTATGAGCCAATTATCTCTTCTTCATTCTTTCACAAGGCAGAACGTAGACCCAAATGTCACTAGCACATAAAAGATTACTTCCTCCAAATATTTCAAGCATATTTCATGTACAGAACCAAACCAATTCCGTAGACCGATAAGCACAACAAACCACTAACTCTTTTTCACCATTATGTTGTTGAAAGCATAACAATATTCGAGGCCTTTATAAATATTCCATTTCTGCCTATTGAAAGATACAAAAAGGCACGAGATCATAGACTGGTGGTCGTGCACCACATCTAGTAGTGTGGGAGTTTCAGGTTAAGGGAACCAAACCACAATCCTTTTTGTTTCTATTTCCCTGAAGTGCACTTACAACATTAGCAATTAGAATAGTTTATTGCACTTTGGCAAACAAAAAGTACTAAAGTAAGAAGTTTCACCTGAGGTTCAAACTATTAGAATATACACATACTTAATTTTCCCTAAAACCAAACATTCAAGACTGACAAAAACTGAAATTTGAGGCATGTTATAGATTCTGCAGAATAAAGCAAAGCTTGTGAAAACTAAAGAAATAAAGTTAACAAAGTGGACTACGAAGCAGATGTAATTTACCCTGTTTGAACCATGAATAAATTGAAGTCACATGGATTGGGCATGACACTCATGCATTTACTATCAATCTGATGCTTGAAATCTGCTCTGCCTACACGAACATCAAACCCAAATATTCTCTTGTCTGCACCAGCAGACAAGACAATCTGCTTCTGCTGCATACCAGCAACTCCCATGACAGCAGAAGAATGAAGATTCCTGTGCAATGCTTTTGGCTTCCATTTGTTCTCACCATCCTGCTCACTCCAAAGTATTACAGCATGATCACTTCCACCAGTTACAAAACATGTATTTTCCCAGGGCATAAAAACTATGCCGTTGATAATACCCTTAACATGAGGCTTGTTGTCTAAGAATTTTACACGTTCTCCCTGTCAGTCGCAGATAAATTTTGCATATATCAATAGGAATCAACAATAAAAGAAACCAAATACAAAGTTTTACTTTTATGCCAGGATATTTGTGCCAAGCATTACCCCTTGTCCTTTATTCAGATTTGTAACTGATAGTTGAGAGTCTCCACCATCAGCACTGTATACTGAAAATAGGCTATTTCCTTCTGGGTGCCAAGCTATATCTTCTGGCCATCTCCTCTGCTTTTGGGATATACAGTTAGTAGTGCTAAGCAGAGAAGCTCCTGATCTACAAAATTAAAGATGAGGAAAAAAGGAAATGTTAATTAGATAACATGGGTGGGTCAACAGTCAAATATAATTATAATGTTTACCACTCCAAATTATCATGTAAACTTAAGAAGAAATTATCAGCGGTAGAGGAAAGAGCCATCATATAGTCAAATTTACAATTTCAAATGGGAAGAAAGAAAAACATGAGATAACAGAGAAGAATGAAACTTGATAAATATTTTGAAGTTCAAAGTCATGAAGTTTTTACTACTCCAAAACTTCATGTTCAGGGAGTGGAAGACTGATAAAGATAATATATTGTCGGAAGAAGTGGAAGGAGAAACCATAGGGAGTACAGACAGATTTATGCTTGTGCAAAAAATTGATGAGTATTAGGCAAACTATCCTGTCCACATATTGTATTTGGTTTAAGTCTATTTATAATAATATTGTCACCGAAAATAAGAATAAAAACTCTCCATAGTGCCACCAGAAAGATAAATTAGGGCATACCCCCTAGACTGAACTTGCCACAAGTTGACCACTCCATCCAAAGCACTGCAAGAATTACAAAAAAGTAGCTAAAAATCAGTCATGAAAGAATATACCAATGGGTGTCACCAGACACTTATCTTACATAAAGAGAAACTAAAATTGAAGATGACAAAAAATGACAAGTTACACTGTCATTATATTTACAAAGTCAGATATATCTAATTCTAACAATAAAAAAGAGGTCTCAAACAACCAAAGACCGTGTCAAAAACCAACATGAACCACCTTTTACAAAATAATAATAATTATTATTAATAATAAACAAACCTTTCTCAGAATGATAAAATTTGGGTTGCACATAACAAGATTTCATACTTCTGTATAATCTTGGTAGCAGAGTACATTCACAGAGTCGAATATGGCACAAGCTTTCATAGCTATTACTTTCATATATCACTTTAGTTCGGGTGTAAAAGAAGCAGAAAGAAACAAATATTCAAGAAAGATAGTAAGAAAACAGAAGCCTTGTTGTGGTAGTCATGCAGATGTCCTATGTTATTCAAATACAAGCTTAAAGACCACAAAGGCACAAACTTAAAATCTGAAAACTTATAGATGACCTTTGAATCTTTCACTCTCTCACATTGTAGACATACACATTAAGTTGGACCATTCCCTAAAATTATAAGCCTAATTAGTGATCCATCATATTGCAATTTAACTTTTCTTGGTGCCAATTTATAACATTTGACCTCATACCAGAAGTGGCAAAAGCTGGGAGATTAAAAGAGATAGGTGAATCAAAGAATTAAAATAACAGGACAGTAATCATTATTATGAGTCAAATTTCAACAATTGTTGAAAGGCAAGAATTTTAGAAATGAGATTATCCTTTTACCTGGTCACAAAAAGTTGATCATTCACAGGACACAAAGCAATGCTTCGCAATTTCCTCTTGTGTTGACTTGAGATGTGGTTGCTTGTTTGACAGTGTACCAAGTTTGGTGAAGAACTCATACGTATTAAAGGAATCAATTCCTTGTGTTCTTTCTGTTCTGGAAACCAAACAAAAATCTTATGAATATTAATTACAACCAATCTTAAAATGAAAAGGACACCAATAGGTACATAACCTTAGATATGACCCATGGACTAGCCAAATCTATGAAAAAGCAATAATGAAAACCACCCTAGAGAAGAATCTCTAACCAAATTTCCTTTTTGTCCCTTTGTCCTTGATTTCAATGTTTTGCTGCTCAGAAGAAAGTCTGTGAGACTTATCAGATTTTACTCTAGAGCCAGAACCATGGATTGAAGGAGTATGGACTGATGCAATGGCTTCCGAACTGGAACTTATTGAAGCATTTGCAGAAGACCTTGGTAACAGTATAGGTGGGGAAATTTTTGGAGTCACAGCAGGAATAATAAGTTCCGGTTTAGATTGATACTGGTTTTTGGAAGAACCTTCATTTCTATCAATTGGACTGCTTGATCTGCGCTCTGTCTTCACGGTTTTAATTCTATCATCTAAGCTACTTTTAGACGACACTGCATTAGTCTGACCTCGAATGCGTGCCAATTTGGATTCGGAATCTTCCAACCTTTTTTCTGCTTCCTCAAGCTGCCCATTTTTCCCAAACTTATAATCAGCTAATAATTCTCCCAGTAAAGATTCAGAAAAACATTAAATGCAGGAGATATATTAAAGAATGAAATTAAAAGATATAAAATTTATCACCGGAACACCAACAACTTGGAATAAGACACCACATTAAAGCTAGGAACCATTCTCCGGATAACAGTAATCATTTATTAAGATTCATAAAAAGGTTCCATCTCAGATTACAGTGAAAAAAGAGTAGTCTGCGAAACATAATTGTAAACAAATATGCAATGCACTATCATATTGAGTGCCAGGGATAACTTAATAATGTGTGCATCATTATATAATTGCTGATAAAGCAAATTCCAGTCTCTTTGGTGACTAATAGCAAAGATATTTTTTAATTAAGTCATGACAAGATTATAAAGACCGCATAAGGGTATTTACTAACAAAATTAAAAGCTTTAACGCCGAGGAGGCAAATAATCTATGAAGCACCGACACTTCAAAAACCTTGACGTGTTGTGTCCAACACTTCCCGACACTTCCCGACACTCCAACACACGTTGTAGAGACTCAAAAAAAGATTCAAAGGTTGCGTTGCATTGCGTTTTTAGTTCCAATTATTAGATTAGTTGGATTACTATTACCATTTTATTGAGTTTAATATAAATATTTGGGATATCTTATGTTTCTTTGCAAAATTGATGGGTATTATAAGTTTAACTTCATTTTTTTTGTTAAATTATTGAGTATTAAATATAATATACATTACATAAATTTAAAATAATATTTAATATCAAAATGTGTCGTAACGTGTCGAAATCTAACATTTTTTAAAATTAACGTGTCGGAGTGTCGTGTCGTATCCTGTCCCTATCGGTGCTACATAGCAAATAATAGTATTCATATCTAGACTTAAAATGAACTTCATGCAAGTATATAACAGAGAAAAACAGCAACGTTGCAAACTTCAAAGATGCAAAAGGAACAATATTTTTTCCACTTTTCTCCGCATTGAAAAAACGCTACAAAATTATTGGGTTCACTCAAATTTGAGAAAAGCAATTTAATATCCAGTCCAAGAGTATGTCAAAGTTATATAGTCATGAATAACCACGCTCTTTGGTGGAAGGAATAGAAAGATTAAAATTTGATCCAAATATTAGAACTAACATGCTATTCAAAGCGGAAAAATATTGTAACATTTTTTAACGAAGACAAACTAACGATAAGAGTATGTAAAAAAAAGAAGAAGAAAAGACAAATGGGTTTGTGGAAATCCAAGAAAGGAGGAACCTGCGATTTGTAATAGGAGATTCGTTGACGGAGGTTTTTGACTTCGCGGGTGCGGTGTTCGATCAAAGCCACCAATGCCTCCTCTTGTTCCTCCCTGTCCCTGGTGGTGCATCCATTCTCTTCCATTTGCTTCGCCGCTTAATTAATCACCACCTCGTATTCTCTTTCTCTAGGTATCTTTGAGAATCGGAAACTACCAAAAAAAAAAAATTGTGTCTTTTTTGCTTCTAAAACCTTGTTTCCCGCTGTTGTTTAAGGTATTAGAGACTTCTTTGTGTTCCCCTACTCGTATTGAATTAGGATTTAGGGGATATTGATTTCAGATTTTAAAAGAATGTTTCAGATAAACTGTTTTAAAATTTTAAAAAGATTATTTTGAAATGGAAAAGGTTATCCTAACTACTTTTTTTTCTTATTACTTATTACAACTAAATTTTAACCGTTGATTTCTACAAATCTAACGGTTATAATTTATTGGGTCACATTTATTAATTAAATATTAATTTTAATAAATTATAACCGATAGATTGATAGAAATCAACAGTTAAAATTTAGTAGTAACAAGTAGTAAGAAAAAAGGTAGTATAACCTCTCCCTTTAGAAATATAATAAGTTTAAAGATCTTTTAAAAGATTTTACTATAATCAAAGATTTGATAGGATTGAATTTTAGTGAATTTATTATTAGAGGAAAACGCTGTCGTTTAGGTGCACAGTAGATATTTCTATCTGAAGTTACAGCTGAAATTTTATTCCCTTAGAATTAATAAGATTTGGAAAGATAATACGATTTATAAAATTTTAAAAAATTATATAAATTTGTAACAAACATTTAAAGTTACACAATTAAATAAAAAAGATAACAAAAATAGTTAAAATGATATTAATAAAAAAAATAAACCTAATATAATTTTTTCGATCTTGAAACAATTTGATATAATTTCATATCCCATAAAAAGTATTTATCCACGTATCGAAATTTATGCTAGACTCAGGTAGGAGCTAGGTTGGGTTAGTTTTATTGGACTTTTTTTTTCCCAACATTAGAAATAGGTTAAAAATCGAAAATAACTTTTTTAACAAAGAATTACCCAAAAACATTTTTTTTTTTTTAAAAATATCCATTAAGAATGTCTTGTACATTAGGATACGCAAAACTTTATTTTAACTGATACCTTGAATGCTAAGAGCTCCTTAATTGACATGATAAGATAAGAATGAATATGATAAAATAGATAATGATACGAGTTTAATAAGCTCATATAATTTGATCATGTGTTTAATGTGCACTAGATAAGCAATTTGATAAGATAACGTTATCATATATGATGTTTGAGGCAAACTATATGTATTGTGACATGATATAAATACACAAAAATATTCTTTTTAATGGAATTTCATATTATTTTTTAAATTGATTATTAAACTACTTCTTCTTACTTATTTTACATTAGTTCTTATTTTAAATTATTAAAAAATTAAAATTTATAATTTTAAATAAATTATATAAAATACATAAATAATTTACAAAAACTTTCAAAACAATATATATATATATATATATATATATATATATATATATATATATATATATATATATCCTTCCAAAATAAATTTTTAAAAATCAAGTTTTTAATTGATTGTCAATATTTATGCCCAATAGCTAGTGACAAGGGCTGATACGATGGGTGGCAGGGGGTGGCCAATTGAAGTGATGGTGGCAGTTGTGAAGGCTAGTGGCAATGCGAGATGGTGACAATACCAACAATGACTGGTGACAATTGTGGTGACTAACTAATGGCGATGATGGTTGGTGCCTGGTACCTGATGGTTAGGGGTGGTGGTAGCCAATAGCGATGATAACAATGGTGGTGGTGGTTGATGCAATGGTGGTAAATAGGGGTGACTGGTGGAAATTGCGGTGGTGATGGGTGGCGGCGCTGGTAATGACTGATGGCAATTGTGGGGGCTGATCGAAGGTAATGGTGGTTGCTATTGGTGGCAATGGTGGTTGTGCTTTGTGGTAGCGGGTGATAATGGTGGTGACTAGTAGCTCGAGGTGATGATCGGTGGTAATGACGGTAGCAATGGTGGGTAATAGAAGTGGCCGATGGCATGCGAAGATGGTTGGTCAGTTGCAAGGACTAACCCTTATGTGTCGAGCAAAATTCGTAGAAAAAATGCACAAGGGTATATTTGGGATGAGATAGATGTAACATTTGCTATCCTATCCATTCCTAACCCGAGTACCCCCCCCCCCCCCCTTGGAATAGCTTATATTGTTGCGGACATGATAAAATGAGCAACATAATAAACTCATCATATCATGATGATTTACCAAACAATGGATAAGAATATGATATGATAATTTATGCTATTATATCCTTTTTATCTTGGCCACCAAACGGACTCTAAGGGTATGCAAGATGCAATTTCATGTGATGCTTTAGACGTTATGTGAAATAGCATATTTAATATATATAAAAATTAATAACCGTGCCACATGTTCAATATCAATGATATTATGTCACTTCTTCCACATGACTAATTACATCGTAAACTTTTCTCCCATCTCTAAAAAAGGAGATGCTTTTCTTATTTACACTTAGGTAAGTATGAAAAGAACAAAAGAAGTAGTAAAGGTCATTAAAGTACAATTTAGAACACTAGTGCATTAATGAAGCAGTTAATTAACTCATTATAACATGTGTTTGTAAGAGTGGTAATGAATTTTTTGTATTGAATACATTATTTCACGTGATGTTATGCAAGGCAATGAGAGACCTAAGTTAGTGCATATGACTGCAAGTGCAAACAATAGTAACTTTTGAAAAGTTTGGAATTAGTACCGACTCAAAATTAAATGAGTTTTTTGGTTTTATGTTGAAACCATTCAAAATCTTGATTGCTTCCGAAATCACGTCGAACATAGTGCCAACATGTTTGGCATCATCTGAGGCATAGACCCCAACCAAAAGAAAAAATTCTATATGGCAACTAATAATTCATACCGAAAAATTCACCATTTAAAAGTTTAAATTGTCACCTTTAAAATTTCTTTTTTGAATTTTTTTGGATTAAAGTACAACTTGGGCTCTTTAATTTTGGTTTATATCTTGATGAAGCCAAAGGACAAAAAAAAAATTGTACAAATGATAGGTTAAACTTCACACTTGTGTGAAACACCATACATTAAATAAAATGTTGTTAGGTAACAAAGCATCGTGCAATTAAAATAGAGGTAAGATAAAATAGAAATTTCAAGACACTGTTAACCACTCCAATTGATCAAGTAAGTGTAAACCCAGTGAGAGTCTTTCTATGTAATTGGCAACGATGAGTAACTAAATAACCACATCCTAATTAAAGAATAACTCTATCTTTTTCAGACCTTATAATAATCACCCCTCAAATAGTGATATGAAATTCATATATTGCATAACTACATAACATTAAACATACACGGTTATAATTAAAATTTGAGACAAATAAAAAATTAATCATGATTCATCAATGTATATTATGTCAAAATATGGATCGAATAACAAATAAAACTGCCTCTGGGCTAAGTTTCTAATTTTGTATACATATATTGATGTTTAGATGAAACTAGCAAAATATGTTTATTTTTTCAATTTTTGTGGGTAAATAAGAATTATAATTTACTTTCTCATCCTAATTAATTATATTAATTAATAAAATTTATCATGGGATGAATTTTAATATATATATATATATATATAAATTCAATCAATTACAATCACTGTTATATATTTTATATAGTCTAGAGACAATTAAAATATAATTTAAATAATTAAAGATATTATGACAAATCTCTAATTAATTAATTGATTTATATAGATCATTCAATGTTAATTAATTCTCAAGTTCATTATTACAATAAGCCATAAGAAATATTAACATAAAGTTGGATACTAATGTGCTCATAAACAATAATTAATTCATAAAATGACAAACTAAAAGTTTAAGCACATGAGTAAGTGCCGACTAACTTAGTGGATAAAACATGGGGCCCTTAACTTGTGGTTCTGAGTTTGAAACCCATAATGGGCTCAATCGGTAAAATGCAAGGCTCTAAACTTTTGAGTGCATCCTAAGTTTCATTAAGGCCTACCTCCACCGTGGGTCCTGTCATTCCTTGAATAAAATAAATATAATTTAAATTTATTTATGGGTTCGCTTTTTCTACGGTCAATGTAGATAATTTATCTACATTGAATCCAAAATAACGTCATTTTGAGGCGGAAATTAAGGTATTTTTGTAATTATAATTTATTTCAGGGTTATAATAGTCTTTTTCATTATAATTTTTTAGTTTTTCAATCTAAAACGACTTCGTTTTGAGAGCAATGTAGATTATTTATCTACATTCACTTTAGAAACATTAAAGCCTTTATTTATACATATATATCTTGCTTAAATTTGATATTATAAATTTATTTAGTTCATGTATAATAATATTATAAGATGCATAAATATGATATAACATAATATCTTTAACGAAAAATTATCAAAATATAATAAAGATGATCAAGTCATAGAACATCTCATATCTCATTTAATATGAGCAAGTCATGTCATGTCACTCATGTGAGATAATCTCATTCAAGGCAAATTAGCACTCATTATTTTCTCACTTTATGTCCTAAGGCTCTCTTGTTCTCCTATTTGGTCACGCTTGAATTATCTATGTATGATTGTAATTATTAACTGTCTCATGTTATCTAATCATATTAAATGAAACAGAAAGGATTCATTCTCAATTAAAATAGAGCTAAAAAATTATTTTGTACGATAAAAAATATCAAAAAGAAATAATAAAAAATAGTTTTTATATCCTAAAAAATTTAATTAACATGTTAAAATAATATAAAAGACTCTATGTTATTTCCATGTTTTCTAAAGTGTGAAAAAGTTTATCGAACAATATATAGTAAACAACTAAATCCTATGCATTAATCAAAATAGTGAAGAAATGAATCTATCTATATATTCAATAAAAAGAAATCTTCCATTATTATAGTCTCATTTCTAATTTTTATATTTTTATTTTTATTTTTATTTTTTGTTTTTTATTTTTTTTTTCAATTTTTGAAGTTTCATTCCTTTCATTTATATTTTTCTTGGATTTTTATCTTTTTTAACCATTTAAATTTTTTATTTTTAAAAAAAATAGAGTGTACCTTTTTTAATAAATTAAAAAATATTCTAAAAATGTTTTTCTTTTAATCTTAATCTTGTCATCCTAAACT